CTTCTAGAAAAACAGCAAGTTTTAAAATGTATTTACATCTTAAACATCTTCATTAAAACAGCAATGGATGAAATTCATCTACAGGGGCATTGCAAAACACATGTACAGGATCCCGACATCCACGTGTTTCATTCTCATCAGTGCTTGAAGAAAACAAGCAGCAAGGTCAGTGCAGTCGGGCCCTGCTGGATGTTCCCTTTCCCCCAGCCTGGAACCCCCTGGGCAGGTCATGGCCAGGATGTGCCTCTCCTGCTGCTGGGGGTCTTTATCCCAACACCATGTCCTCCTCCAGATCTATCTCCATCTCTTCACATCCTCCTCCAGATCTACCTCCATCCTTTCCTCACTATCCAATCCCATATCGATTTCCATCTCCTCTCCCATGTCTCTCTCAGCTGCATCAGGGGCACAATCCCAGAATGGGGTCCCTGTCCCACACCATCCCCACAGAGCTCCATCCCCTGGGGTGGTCGAGGAGTGCCCACCTGCATGGAATGGCCCCGTACCTTCCTCAGGACAAGAGGGAGCATCCTGCTGGGATGGGGGACAAGATCCACACAGCAGCTGCTGTTCAGGACTGCTGGGGATTGGAGGGAGCAGGGCAGGACAGTGTGCTGGGAGCAGGAGGAAGGGTGGTCTCTGAGCAGGGGGAAGGGCTGTCTCAGAGCACAGCCAGGGTTGGTCAGCACAGAGGCTGCACTGGGAGCTGCACAAAGGTGTGATGGCAGCAGGGGAATGGTTGCGCTGTGCTTGGTGCTGGTGCTGGCCATTCCACATGGAACACGGGCACAGATCTGGTAGCTGGGATGTCACAGGAGTTGTGAGGATGGGGACCAGAGAATGATGGAACCCTTGAATGGTTTGTCTTGGAAGGGACCCTAAAAATCATCTCGTTCCAACCTGAGCAACCTCCCACCACCCCAGGTTGCTGAGGGCTCCGTCCAACCGGCCCTTCAACATTCCCAGGGACGGAGCCTCTCAGGTGCTGCCTGTGCCAGTCCCCTGCAGCCTGACTGGAAGAAAACATCTCCCTCAGATCGACCCTAAATCGCCCTCCTTCAGTTCCAGCCGTGCCCCCTTGTCCTCTCCCCACAGGCCCTGCTGAACACTCTGTCCCAGCTTTCCTCTGGGCCCCTTCAGCTCCTGCCCGGCCGCACTGAGGCCTCCCCGGGGCCTTCTCTTCTCCCGCCTCAGCAACCCCAACTCTGGCAGCCTTTCCTCAGGGCGCAGGGGCTCCAGCCCTCGCAGCACCTCGCAGGCCTCCTCTGCACTCTCTCAGCAGCTCCATGTCCTGCCTGTGCTGAGCACTCAGTGCTGGAGGCCGCGATGAGCCCTGCAGGGGCTGCAGCTTCCTGGGGAACAGTGGGGAATGGGGGGTTACCCCTACAGAGGAAGCAAACACACTTTTGTGCTTAGAGAAAGGCAGGAAGATGCTGCTGGTTCTTGGTGGAGTGTGCAGGGACGTGTCAGGAGCAGGTCCTGTGTGTCCCTGTCCCAGCACACAGCCCAGAGCAGCTCCATGGGGCGCCTGGGCCGGGCCGCGGGTCCATCCCCAGCTCAGCTCACAGATCCCTGTGTTCCAACAAGCACAGGCTCCAAAGCAAACCCTGCCCATGGGGACACAGCGTCCATGCCATAGTGGCTCCCTCCAGCTGAGCCTGGGCCTGCAGCAGCCTGGCTTGCTCACCCAGCAAAGATTTTCCCAAAGGATTGGTGGAGCCTGAGCACAGCAGACCTTGCAAAAGCCAGAGGCTCCGTCCTGATGCCTCTGGGACTCTGAAGCCCTGCTGAAAGGAGAGGCACGGGGCACACAAATCTTCAGGGGGTTTATTGTCAGGAGAGAAATTCCTTTATAGGAAAGATGAGTTTTAAAACAGCACTGCTCTGCTCTCAAAATTAAATGTACATAGATATACACACACACACATACATATTGATAGAATAATGACCATTTTGCTGTGTGATTTGAAAACGAAACAAGATAATACCGATTCCCCAGCAATTGTGCCCAACCAGGGCAAGGGGATCTGACAATTCCTGCCACCCACTGTCCCATGGGAGCCCACCTGGGCACCATGGCAGGAGCGGGACAGGCATTGCTGGCCCTGCCTGTGCCACCCTCCTCTTCTTGCCCCACCACTTGGTAGCAGAGGCTGAGACAAGAGAAACTCTCAGGGTGACCCCACTGTAGGTTTTTCCTCTTGCAAAGCAGCTTGCCAGGCTCTGGGGGGGCTGTGCAGGGCTGGGCCATCCTGGTTGCTCTGTGGAAAGGCCGGGTGTCCCATCTGCCCAAAGACCTGTCTGGCCACACAGTCATCTCCCCTCATTCCAGACCTTCCAGCTGGGAGGAACGAGGCAACAGCCATGGGTGAAAGCCCTTGGCTTCACAGCAGAGGTTTTGATCAAGGTCCTTTTTGGTGTTCTCAGGATTTTTTTTTAAATACAATCCACATCTCCCTGGGGGTTTTGAGATCTCTGTCTGCCCTTTGCCTTCCTCTGGGATGGGGGGGTTTGGCTGCAGTCAGAGCCACAGCCCCACAGTGCCCCCACGGCTCTGCCTCATTCTGTACAACTGCCTTGTCCCTACAGCCCCCCACCAGCACTGGATCTGAGCCTCAGGGCTCTCCCCACTGTTTTACCCTTTTTTTTCAGCCTCTCTCTTTTTGCCAGGCTGCATCCAGAGAATCCATAAACCTCCTAAGAGGCTCTCCTCATAAAGGCCATGTCCTCATAAACCCCATAAACATTGCTGCCTAAAAGGCTGCAGAGGAAAAAGACTCCAGGCAAAACGAGGTAGGAGGTCAGAAAAGCAGCAGAGGTTTGCATGAGCCTCCAGGCTCCAGCAATACAAACCCACAACCATGTCCCTTCCAACGCAGGGGTTACAGTTTTTATAACGATTTCCACCCAATGCCCGTCCCGTCCCCGCCCCGGTTCTGCCCCGCTCTGCCCCAGGAACGCCCGTGGGGAATTGAGTCTGGGGGAGTTTGGAGCTTTGAGCCGCTGCAACTACAACTCCCGGCGTGCCCCGCGCGGAAAAGGGGGCGGGGCGGGGTCTCTGCCGGCGGTGCGCGCGCACAGCCCCGCGGTGGCTGCCGGGAAAGCGATGGCGGCGACAGCGGGATCTGCTCCGACTTTGTGAGCCCTGGCGGGGGCTGCGGCGGGGCTGGGGATGCGCTCGGGGGCTGCGGGGAGCGCGGCTGTGGGCGGGAAGGCTGGAGGGCTCGGCAGAGTGGAGAGGAGGGGCTCGGGGGTTCCCGAGGAGGTTTTGAGGTCCGTGAGGGGCTCCCGGGGGGTCGCGGAGGGGATTTGGTGTCCTGAGGGCGCTCAGAGGGGAGGGTGAAGGTGCCTGAAGGGGTTTAGGAGGTCCCTGAATGGGCTGGGGGCCTTGGAACCCTCTGGGAGGGGGGGGCTGTTTAAACGCCATGGCTGCACTGCGCAGGCGCCGGCGGAGTCCCCATGAGCGAACTACAACTCCCAAGAGGCCCGCGCGGCGCCGCCATTGCCGCTCGTGCCACAGCGCCCCCTGCCGGCTGGGCGGACCGACCGCAGGGAAAGCGGGTCCTGATGCCCCCCCGAACCCCAGAGACCCCCAAAACTCAGCACACAGAGACCCCACCGGGAGGGGATCCCGGGTGGTCCCCTAAAGCGCAGCAGTGGGGTTCAAGGGGTCTCCCAGCCCTTAGGGGAGGGGTCCTGGCAGTGCCACCCAAAGTCTTGTGAGGGAGATGAACCACATCCAGGTTAAGGGATCCCAGTGACCCCAGTATAGCCCAGTGACCTCCCAGTGGCTCTCAGTATGGCCCAGTAACCCTCCCAGTGACCACTCAGTGTTTCCCAGTGACCTCCCTCTACCCCTCAGTATGGCCCAATGATCCTCCAGTGAGCACCCAGTAATCCCCAGTAAGGCCCAGTAACCTCCCAGTGTCCCCCCGTGTGTCCTGGTAATCACCCAGTCCCTCCCAGTGCCCTCCCACATCCCTCAATAAACCCCCAGTACCTCCCAGTGCCCCCTGGTTCCCCCCAGTGTGTCGCAGTAACCCCCAGTAATCACCCAGTGCCCCCCAAAGCCTCCCAAGTGTCCCCAACGTGTCCCCAGATGCCCTTGACCTTTTTGTGAGCATGGGGGGTTGGGGCCATTTTGGGGGGCAGAGGTTTCACGGGGGCCTTCTTGGGGGAGAGGGAGGTTTGGGGACATCAGGGATGGGGTTTGGGTACATTGGGGAGGGGTTTGGGGACAGTGGAATGGGTGGTGTCAAGGGGGGAACTGGGGCTATGGGGAGGCCCTGGGGACACTGGAGACCCCAGGGGGGTCACGGGGTGCCAAGTGGGAAATTGAGGACCCCAGGAGGGTCTCAGGACTCACCTGCTCGTGGTGCTGCCCCTCCTGTCCCCCCCAGGCCCCAATAAGTCCCCCAAATGTCCCCTAACTCCCATTTTTCCTTTAATTACCTCCTCCCCCAGATCCCTTTTACCCCCCAGTGCTCCCAAGACCTTTTTTAACTCCCCTAAATGCACCCAGAGGCCTCCCCAAATCCCAATCAAACCCCCAACAAAGAGGGATCACCCAGCACCCTGGGTCAGGAACACATTGGGCTGTGCTGGGGGCACTGGGCTGTACTGGGAGGGCGCTGAGGGGGCACTGGGCTGTACTGGGAGAGCCCCAATCCCCAAAGCCCCTCCCCTGGGCATCCGTGCCATGGTCTGGGAACCACGGCGGGGTTGGATCAAGGGGTGCACTTGATGATCTGGGAGGTCTTTTCCAAGCCGGCTGATTCTGGGATTCTCTGGGTGCCATTGCCAGGGCAGCACATGCTGGAGGCTCTGTCCACAGGGGATAGATGTGTCTGTGCAGACAGAGAGACAAGGTCAATCTGCAAAGATGTGGGGTTAGAAAAGCAGGAGAAGTTGTGGGGTGGTTATGGCAGGAGAAAGAAGCCCCCAGGCCAGTGCAAGCAGGCCCCCCTGGGCTTACACATCATCTGCCCTCCCTGCAGGTTCCTGTGCTGGAGAGCAGGCCCTGAGGTGTCCCTGAGCAATGGCCCGGAGGTGAACCCAGAGCTGTCCCTGAGGTGGCCCTGAGAAGAAGTGGAAGGCAGAGGTGGTGCTGAGGCAGGAGAGCCCCGTGCTGGGGAAGAGGCTGAGCTGGGAGTGCCCAGCAGTGAGAAGGTGCTGTGTCCATGCCCTGTGTGCCAGGTGAGCTGGGGCTTTGCTGCAGAGCTGCGGGCGCTGATTGGAGCGGCTGCAGCTGCTGAGCTGGTGGCCCCCAGGAACACAAAGTGTGCCCGGCCACGGAGCCTGCAGGGAGGAGCAGGGACAGGGTCAGGGCCACTGTCAGCCCGGGGCTGGCTGGGCAGACACAGCAGGTTTGGGGTCTCCCTGGGAGCTGCTGAGGGTGGAAGGTGGAGTGGGTGATGCCGGAGCTGGGGGACCCCCGGCAGGCTGGAGGGGGGAGCACGGAGAGGGAGGAGCCCCGGGACCCCCGGGAGCCTGAAACGGGGGAGCGGAGAAGGGGAAACCTGGAGAGAGGGGACCCCTGGGATCCCAGGGACAACAAGGTGGAGAACCTGGAGACGGGGAATGTCTGGGAAGGCGGCACCCCAAAGGTGAGAGTCAGAGGAGAAGGGACCCTTGGGACCCCCAACATCCCAGACAGGGGAGACCCTCTGAACCCCAGAGAGGAGAGAACAGAGCGGGAACTCCTGTGAGAGTTGTTTTGGGCTGAATCTTCATATTTTGGCTGAACTCTTAACTTTTTGCCATTTGGGGGGGCGTGTCCATATAACTTTTTCTGAGGAGGTTTTTTGCATGAATGTTTGTGAATTGGGTTTTTCTGGGCGGAATTGTAATGTTTTGGAGGTGTTTATGGTCCCAGGATGGCCTAGGGATGGACTTGGGCAGGAGGAATCCCCAAGGCAATGCGCTCAGCCCTTGTTTCCCCCCAGCAGGATTTGTCCTTCCCAAAGCTTGGGCAGATGGAGGAGGAGCCTGCGAGGAAAAGGAAAAAGCCACAGGCCCCCCAGGTAGGTGAGGAGGAAGTCAGTGCCCCTTTGGCCCTGTCTTGCGGTGCACGTGGGGGCCAGATTTGGGGGGGATGTGCTTGACCTTCCCTCTGGGCCGGAGGCAAATCCCCTGCCTGTCCTTCTTCCTTCCTGCCCCAGGCCCTGAGCTGAGGACGGAGAGCACGGAGGACAAATCCCCCCGGCAGAGCCTGGTGGGAGAGGCCGTTTTGAAGGGCTCCCCGGCGCAGGAAGGCAGCGGGGAGGAAAAGGCCCGGAGATGCCCCCGGAGGAGGGGCTGCAAAGCCAGCCCAGGGAGCTCTGAGGAGGAAAGACCCGTCCTGTGCCGGGAAGGCGACTGGAGCTTGAGCCGGAGCTCAGAGCTGGTGGTCCCTGAGCAGCCTCCCAGCAGGGAGAAGCCCTTCAGGTGCTTGGAATGTGGGAAGAGCTTCAAGAAGAGCTCCCACCTCCTCAGCCACCAGCTCATCCACACTGGGGAACGACCCTACATGTGTAGGGAATGTGGGAAGAGCTTCAGGCAAAGCTCTAACCTGCTCCAACACCAGCGCATCCACACTGGGGACCGGCCCTTCAAGTGTGGGGAATGTGGGAAGAGCTTCAGCCAGAGCTCCACCCTTCTCAGGCACCAGCTCATCCACACTGGGGAACGGCCCTACAAGTGCTTGGAATGTGGGAAGAAGTTTAAGACCAGCTCAACTCTTCTCAGGCATGAGCAGACACACACAGGGGAGAGACCCTTCCGCTGCACCGACTGTGGGAAGGGCTTCAACCAGAACTCCACCCTTGTCAACCACCAGCGCATCCACACTGGGGAGAGGCCCTACAAGTGTGGGGAGTGTGGGAAGAGCTTCACCCAGAGCTCCCACTTGACCAAACACCAACGGACCCACCAGTAAGGGAAGCCCTACGAGTGCCCCGACTGCGGGAAGAGCTTCTGCCGTTGCTCTGACCCCGAATGACCCCCCTGATGGTGAGGCAACCCCTGGAGTCCAGTGACTGTCAGTCCGTCCCTTTCTACCAGAAAGGGCCAGTCCCCTTTGCCAGGGGCAGGTTGTGCCAACAAAGCCCTTCTTGAGTGGGATGTGGAGATTCCTGCCTTGGCTGGGACCCCCCAAGATCACTGCTGGAGGTTGAGAGCAGAGATCTCCCCCCGAGCGTTGGTCTGAGGGAGTTCCATCCATCTCTAATTCATAATTCTTGCTTTGGTGCCAGCTTGAGTAGAATTGCTCCAACAATTGCTTTAGTGTAGAGCAGTGTCCTATCTTATGCTGTAGTACTGGTAGTTTTAGTGTTTTTATTGTGCAGTAAATAATTCTGATGAAGATCTTTTGTCTGATCATTTGTTACCCTAAATAATTAATTTCTATCAATAGATCTGATTTACCTTCATTAAAACCTGAGGGACAAAAGTTGTTCAGTCCCACCTCTGTAATTCCTCTAAACTGAACCTGTTGTCATAACCCAAGGCTGAGATTGGATCCAGCAGCCCCAGCACCCCACAGTCAGTTGGAAGCTCAGGGAGCCACCCCCTTTTCCCAACACCCCTCAGCCCAAAGACCCCCATGGTACAGTCAGACTGTGTAGACCACCCCCCTTTTTCTACCCTTCTCCCTGTTCCTCCCACTTTTCCATGGTCTCCTGTTACAATCTGCTTAAATACTGCAGAAAGAACTTGAGATTCAAATATTCCCTTAAGCAAAACTAAAACTCACACAATTACACAATTTATCTGTTGATACCAAAAACTGATTTTTATTAATTGCTAAGAGATGCACAGAAAAAGGAAAAATAAGAAAAGGTTGGAAACTGCTAAGATTATTTCTAGAAGCAGAAAAAAGATATCACCGAAAACTTCTTTTTCCCACTGAGCTGGTCTGTGTGTGGGGGAAGAGAAGCAGTTTCTGCCTTTTTTTTGTCTGTCCCTGCAGCTTTTGGATGTTGTCTCTGTAGCTGCAGGGGTTCTGACAGCTTTAGTTCTCTGCAATGCACCATGTGTGGTTTCACCGCTCACGCCCCTGTCCCAGGCCGTGCAGGGTCTCAGCTCAGCCGAAGCTTTGGGCCCTCAGAAATATGGTCAGGGTAGAAGGATAAGGTAGAACTCCCACATGTGGCACGGTGGTCTCAGCTCTCTCCAGGCCGGCACAGTTCCAGTCTCCGGTGGCAGGCAGGCAGCACGCGGTGGTGGAGAAAAGGTGAGGGGAGGTGGGGAGAGATTCTCGGCTACAGTCACCAGTTCTTCTCCCTTTCCTCTCCCTGATTTTCCAAAATTTGTCCTCAACTTTTATCATGTTCAAAAGAGGTTGAACGTGTTTTCTTGGTACGTAGCCAGTTTCGATGTTGGAGGAGATATGATAACCATAAACATATAACAGGATTTTTTGGCAGGAAAAGTGCCGTGGGAAGTCCTTGTGGAAACTTCTGGCAGAGAGCTGACAGAGAATGTTTGATAGGAAGTTTTTGACAGGCAGAAACAATTTTTGGCATTTCTGTATTATCTGTGTGTTACAGATGGTTGCCATGGTAAATGATATAACTGGGAATGCATAATGGTTGCCATGGTAACCACAATAACAATGAGACTTCATAATGGTTGCCGTGGTAACCGATCATAACAATGAGAATGCACAATGGTTGCCATGGTAACCGAGGTAACAATGAGAATGCACAGTTGTTGCCATTCTAAGTGACATCACAATGAGAAGGGACAGTGGTTACCAGGGTAACCAACGTCACAATGAGAATGCCTAATTGTTACCATGGTAACCAATGTAACAGACTGCATAATGGTTGCCATGGTAACCAAAGACACAGTGAGAATACACAATGGTAACAGAGATCACAGTGAGAATGCACAATGGTTGCCATGGTAACCGATGTAATAATGGGAATGCACGATCGTTGTCATGCTAAGCAACATCACAATGCAAATGCACAATGGTTCAAATGGTAAGTGATGCCACAATGAGAATGCACAATGGTTGCCATGGAAACCATTGTAATAATGGGAATACACAAGAGTTGCCACGGTAAATGAGGTCACAAGGAGAATGCACAATGGTTGCCATGGTAACCAAGGTAAAAGTGGGAATACATAATGGTTTCCATGGCACCTGATGTCACAATGAGAATGCACAATGGTTGCCATGGTAACCGAGGTCACAATGAGAATGCACAATGGTTACTATGGTAAGTGAGGTCACAGTGAGAATGCACAATGGTTGCCATGGTAACCGTGGTAACAATGAGAATGTATAATGGTTACCATGGTGTGAGGGGGGGAATTTTGATTCAGATGATCAGTGGAGCATAGAGGGGTGAGAAAGTGATTACATTTGTATGTGAAATCAGCCAGAATATTGTACAATGTGACTTTGTTGCACAAGTTGACTGTAGGGCCCACTGTGTCTATAGCAATTTTAATTGGATATCCCCCATTATCAGAGCTGAGTTCCTCCTTGGCTTGGCTCCACTCTGCAAGACAGATACAAATTCCCTTGAAACACAATGGTAGAGGTCATCCGTAAGGCTGAGGAAGGTGATGGAGAGGAAGATGATGTGGGCAGGGATCGTTGGCCCCTTGCCCTACAGTGGGGCACGCCCAGACTGTTGCCATGAGGTGATGAACGGGCGCTGTTTGGCTGCCACTCAAGCACCACCTTCTGCTGCGTCCTGGCCCTACGTAGTGTAATGTAGAGCTGATGGAATGGGGTGTCAGCACTGCTGGGTGGAGCGATGCTCATCCTTCCATCCACACTGTGCTGCTCCGCGGGGACACCCGCCAAGCACGGGCACCGACCAGCCCTGCAGAGCCTGGTAGGCCTGGCCTGTCTGTGCAGATGAGCACAGTTTATTGATAGGAAGAAACCAAGAAAGCAAACATTTTATTTCCTTTTTTTTTATCCCTTTAATTCCCTTTTTACTAGCTAATGCTGTAATAAAAGCTGTTCGTAGTATTGTATGCATGGCAACTGATAAAGTAGTGGTTTTATTTTTTTCAACTTTTGATTCTCTTTGCTAATAGTTTTTATAAATTTTATTCTCACTGCAAAAAAAGATTTTTTTGTAGTGTTTGAATGACTGCTGTACTTGTCTTTATTCTGGGCATGGATTCAAACAAACTAGTATAGAAAGGGACTGGCAGGAGGTTTCAGGGGGTTCTGGGTGGGCTGGGAGAGACTAGAACAGGGTTTGTGAGGTCCTGGGTGATCTATGGGAGGTTTTGGGGGTCCTGACCCACCCGGCTCCCCCCAGAGATGCCACAGGACACCGTCCACAGCAAGATCCTGGTGGGGGTCGGGGGCTTCGTGTTGGGCTTCGTCTTCCTGGTGCTGGGGCTCGGCTTCTACCTGCGGGAGAAGGTAAAGGGGGGTCCCTGGGGGCTGTGTCCCCCCTTCCCCAGAACGTGTGTGCTCCCCCTTCCCCCTCAGCTCCCTGTCACCCCCTTTTCTCTCTTGACAGAGCTCCTGAGCCGGCGGCAGCTACAGCCCCTCCCCGTGGCCTCGGGCCCAGCCAGGACCCCCCAGTCCATCCCCACCCGGAGTTTGGGGGGGTCGTGTGTCCCCCCGGCCCTGTTTTTATCCTCACACCAGCCGCCTGCTGCTCCCAGTGCTCCCAGTAAAGCTTCACAGTTCTCTGCAGTCCTGGTGTTGAAGGGCAGGTGCCCTCCCAAAGCCCCCCCAGAATCAGCTTATCCAAACTGTACAATGGTTGGCACCCGTTGTCTTTCTGCTTCCAGGAGTGTGTATTTTTCTGCCATGTCTGGTTCAATGTTTTCACAGCTTATTGGGTCAAACTGTGTCTGCTTTGTTTAAAGAAAAAGAGGGAAGTGTAGGGATTTTGAGTGCTAACTAGATGATATGCTGCAGCTGTGAGAACATAACCTTATGTTGCAATTGTGAAAACATGATCTGTGTTTCTGATGGCCTTCTGATGGTACCAGGATGGGAAAGATCTACCAAGAGAAGCAGTAGCAAAACTAGTTATAGAAAACAGGGTCTCAGTACCGGCTATCCGAGTGGGAAAAGACATAAAGAATGTTAAAGAAACAGAGCTGATAGAAGAGTATTGCTAGAAAATTGGATAAAAGACTGCTGCTTGATTCCAATCAACGGCGCTCTCTGATCATCACATTGGTGTGCTGAGTCGTCCGTGCTCGCATGAAAACCCCCCAGGCAGGTGCCCTCCCAAAGGCCCCCAAACATCCCCAACATCCCCAGTGATGTCACCACTGTCCCTGGGATGTCACTGGTGTTCCTAATGATGTCACAGAGTCTAGTTGATGTCATTGCTGTTCTGTGATGTCACCAGACAGTTGTGATATCAGTAGTCTGCAGTGATGTCACTGCTGTCCCCACAGATGTCACCACTGTCCCTGTGATGTCACTGCTGTCCCCAGGGGTGGTCCCTGTGTCCCCAATGATGTCACCACTGTCCCCTGTGATGTCACCGCTCTCCTCAGCGATTTCATTGGTGTCCCTGTGATGTCACCACTGTCCCCAGTGATGTCACCAATGTCCCTGTGATGTCACTGGTGTCCCCAGAGGTGTCCCCAGTGTCCCCAGTGTCACCACTGTCCCTCTGATCTCACCGACATCCCCAATGATATCACTGCTGTCCCTGTGATGTCACTGGTCTCCAGTGATGTCACTGGTCTCCAGTGATGTCACTGCTGTCCCATGAAGTGTAACCAATGTCCTCAATGATGTCACTGCTGTCCCTGTGACCTCATCACTGTTCCTTTCATGTCACTGCTTTCCCTTTGATGTCACTGCCATCCCCAATGATGTCACTGCTGTCCCCACAGGTGTCACCACTGTTCCCTGTGATGTCACTGCTGTCCCCATGGGTGGCCTCTGTGTCCCCAATGGTGTCATCAGTTCCCTATGATGTCACTGGTCCCCAGTGATGTAACTGATGTCCCTATGATGTCACCGGTGCCCTGTGATGTCATCAGTGACACCAATAATGTCACTGGTGTCTCTGTGATGTCACCCTTGTCCTTGGGAAGTCACCACTCTCCCCTGTGATGTTACCGATGTCCCTGGTGACATCACTAGTCTTTCTGTGATGCCACCAATGTCCCTGTGATGTCACTGTTCTACCTGTGATTTCACAACTGTCTCCAGTGGTGGCACCATTTCCCCATGATGTCACCGATGTCCCTGTGATGTCACCAGACCGCTTTGATGTCCCAATGACCCTGGTGATGTCACTGGTCTCTCTGTGATGTCACCCATGTCCTTGTGAAGTCACAGATGTGCCCTGTGATGTCACTGGTCTCCCTGTGATATCACAACTGTTCCCAGCGGTGGTACCATGTCCCCATGACGTCACCAATGTCCCTGTGATGTCACCAGACCCCTGTGATGTCACTGGTTTCCAATGATGTCACCTTTGTCCCTGTGATGACACCACTGTCCCCTGTGATGTCCCCAATGTCTCTGATGATGTCACTGCTGTCTCTGTAATGTCACCATTGTCCTTGTGAAGTCACCAATGTCCCCAATGATGTCACCAATTTCACTGTGAGATCACAGCTATCCCTTTGGTGTCACCATTCCCTTGTGAGGTCACTAGTCCCCAGTGATGTCATGGATGTCCCTGTGATGTCACCAGTGATGATGTCACAGGTGTCTCTGTGATGTCACCCTTGTCCTTGTGAAATCACCGATGTCCCCAGTGATGTCATCGACGTCCATGTGTGGAGTGCTTAGCTGAAAAAAGACACACTATGGACAAACCATACTAATTGGCCTCAGTTAGGCCTGCCCCTGACATAGCCAGAAACCTCTTTGCAGGCATTGGAAAGATACAGGAGCAGTGATAACAGACTGCAGGAATGTAAACAAAGAGAAACCTGTGGCAAAAATAAGGAGGAGTTTTAGGAGAAAAACAATGTCTTCACATCACATGGACATCTGTGTGCACCCAATAGGAAGTGTGTCAGTAATGCACGCTCGGTTCGTGGGTTAGGATTAGGGTTAAGATTCAGGTTAGTGTAAGGATTAGGTTAAGGTTATTGTTTAGATAACATTTTCATTAGAGTAAGGGATACGTTTACAATTATGGGTTAAGGTTTAGGTTTACATTTTTTTTAAATATTAGATCTAGGGCTCAGTGCTGTCTAAGATACCTCCCAACCCAAAGGTCCACGCACAGAAAGCTCTTGCTATTTCTGTAGTGCTGAGAGCGATGCACAAATTGCACTCGAGAGATGGTGAGTCACAGTTAGAGTTAACGTGAGGTGCTGGGATTTAGGGTTAAGGTTACAGATAGGGTTAAGGTTAAGGTTAGGATTAGGGTTAGGTTAGGGGTTAGGGTTAGGTTTAAGTTTAGACTTTTTTTTAAGTTTAGGTCTAGAGTTCAGTACAGATGAAGATGCCTCCCAGACAAAGGTGCCCGCACACAAAGCTCTTGCTCTTTGTGCAGTGCCGAGAGTGACACAGCAACTGCACTGGAGAGACGCAGACTCAGGGATTTCTTTCCTGGATGGAAGGGCAGTCGTTCCCCTGTAGGAGTGCTGGGCTGAAATGGCCGTCCCACAGTGTGACACATTTGCTTGTTGTAAGGAAAAAAGGAACTGAACATTGAATATTTTCCTTCCCCTCCTTCCCCACTTTGTGGGAGGGATGTTGAATGGGCAGGTTGGTCTTGCCTTGGGTGATTGAGTAACACAAAAGAACTGGTCAGGGACTCAGATTCCAGACTGATGGTCCTTGAAGTCTGTGGGGAGGGATGAGGAGGGTTTTTTTTTTTGTTTTGTTTCCTTTTCTTTTCTCTCTCCTGGGAAACAGGACACTTCATTGTTGCCTGAACTGAGACAAGGTGTGGGTTAGAAAACCTCCAAGGTTTCTTTCTTCTCAGCCTGGCCACTTGACCCTAGTTTAACTGCACCCTGTTTACTGCCTCCAGCCCAGACCTCCTCAGACTTTATCAGAGAGGAACTCTTTGGGAAGGAGGTCACTCTATTTCCCTATTTTGCCTTTTCTGCTCCCATGTTTTTGGCAGTTTTTTTTTTTTTTTTTTTTTTTATATATACACATCAAGGAAAAGGGGAAGTCACAGAGCCAGCCACAGACAGCGTGAGTTTTCTTGGGAAGAACTCCTTCTCTCCTCTTTCCCCTTCTTGGTGTGTGTGGATGAAATCTCCATTTTGGGCTTCTCCTGCATCCCCGGGGATCCCCCATGGCAACCGCCATATCCAACAGCGCCCCCTGCTGGACACCAGGGAACACTGCAGGCTCTGCTCCTGCAGTGATCCAACAGCGCCCCCTGCTGACTGTGGTTCCAATTGCACCAAAGAAAAAAATGATCTCTTTTCTTTTCCGTTTGAAGGAGACTCTTGGGTATAGGATTATTGTTTGGTTGTTTTCTCTGTTTGTTGTTCTTGCCAATACACATATATCCTTTAATAAAGGACTGGTATTTTTTCCTTTCTCCACACTTTCTCAATCAGAGCCTCTTAATTTCGGACTTAAAATTGCTTAGATGGAGGAATTCTGGTTTTTCTCCTAATTCATCCTCCTTAGCAAAATAATTCTGTCTCATTACACTGAGACTGACAGCCAAAATTTAGTACAGACGAAGACACCTCCCAGACTAAAGGTGCCTGCACAGAAAGCTCTTGCTCTTTGTGTAGAGCCAAGAGTGGTGCACCAACTGCACTAGATAGGTGGTGAGTCAGGGTTAGAGTTAATGTTAGGCTCTAGGATTTAGAGTAAGGTTTAGCATTAGGGTTAGATTAGGACAGGATTTAGGGAAGGTTTGGGTTAGGGTAAGGGACAGGGTTATGGTTAGGGGTTAGTGTTAGGTTTGGGTATAGGGGTTTTTTTAAGTTTAGGTCTAGTGTTCAGTACGGATGAAGATACCTGCCAGACAAAGGTGCCCGCACACAAATCTCTTTTTCTTTGTGCAGTGCCAAGAGTGGAGCAGCAACTGCACTTGAGAGACAGAGGCTCAGGGCTTTCTTTCCTGGGTGAAACTGCAGTGCACACCAACTCACTGCAGCCCCAAAAGTGTTCAATGGTTGCCTTTGTGATGTCATGGCCTACCCTCTCCATGCTAGAATGTTGCCT